TCTACGGTCAGAGGGACTGGCTCTGTATCCGTGTCTTCTTCTCTACACTTATCTAATACTTTACTAGTGCCTTCGCTTTCGCATAAATTATTATCTGTAAATCAAGTAACTATGGAGTTAAATTGTGAAGTACTGATCTATCCTACCTTGTCTTCTTCAGGATATTCTCATTGATTAGTGTAATTCACTCATTAAACTAACGCCTCTAAATCATGGGTTTTAGCTTGTTCTTAAGCACTTTTGAATGTTTTGATGTGTGTGTTCATGTTGTTTTGCAGCTAAATCAACATTCGAGAAAACATCACAATTGGGAGCTTGTGATGAATCTAAAATGGTGGTCATAAAATGGGGGCATGAGTTAGAGATAAGAAAAGAGGATTGCAATGGGAAAGCAGCTTAGAAGATGAGCATTCAAGTAAGGAGTAGTCTGTTAGGCGCCACGGTGCCCAGAGTAAAAAGAAACAATAGAATAGTTGGCGCCGTTGCGCCGACTTGGGCGCCACGGTACCAACACACAAATACATTGTGGCTTCAGAGATGGGTGCCATGGCGTTGGGCCTCGCAACACAGAAGAGTTCGAATTTTTGGATATTTCTCGGCCTAAAATGTTCTCTAACCATCCAAAACTCGGAGATAATATAAATACCAAGACAAAAACCTAATGGGCAACCGTTTTTCTGGGATTTTCTCTGGATAAAAAAGGGTGCAAGAGTGAAGATCCATTCAAGAGGCAAAGAAGAGAAATTGAATTGCATCAAGATTGACAACCAATTGGGAAAGAACAAGCAGCTTAAATCAGTTTTTCTGAATCCTTATTTATTCTTTCCCATGTTTTTTTTATCTTGTATTTTGGCATGTCGATCGATTCAAGCATGAACTAAATTCATAGATCTAAGGTTGATGTAACCTATTTGAGACGTGATTTGATTCTAATATAGTTATATCTTCAATTTTCCAGAATTTATTTGTGTTGTTTTGTGCTTAATGCTTTTAATTGCCTGATCAACAATTGAATGAACCGATACTTTAAATTTGATGCTCGAGAGAGGAAAATTTAGACATAATCTGGAACAACATAACCTAGATTTGTAGGTTTCGAGAGAAAGTGCTAATCTTTGAGGGCTAAAATAAGAACCAAAAGCTTTAATAATCTTTATATGTTTAATTCGGAATAGAGATATTGGGGTTAAAATATAAAGATAGGTTCTATTGGCGCTCGAGAGAGGGGATAGAATTAAATTAGGGTTCTTGCCTATAAATTGGGAAAATTCAATGGAAATGGCTATAGAAGTTGAGAGCATCTTGATAATATGGTGAAATCAATCCTTAGATATCCATAATTTGATTTGATTATTAGAAATTGTCTCACTTTACTTGCATTCTTTATTCCATTTAAATTAGGTTATCATAAAAACATCATTTAAAACTTGGAATTGTCTAAATAAAGTGAAAATCGAAATAATTGTAGTACTCAGTTGAATTTGAATATCAATCCTTGTGGGTTTGACACTTTTAAATTCTTTACTATATTACAAAACTTGACACCATACACTTACGATTAAATCACGCTATATAATCGCGTGGTACTCACCAAGGAAATTCTTGGGCGTGGTACTAAGAAGGGGGAGACTATACTATATGAAAGATTTCAGTATGGGTCGAGCTCATCACATACAAAGCAATGAGAAGGATCGACAGATTTGTTTGTGGAATCGTCGTCTAGGACACCCATCTTTCAGCTATTTGAAGCACCTAATACCTAGTCTTTTTTCAAATAAAGTGATTTCTGACTTTAAATGTGATACATGTACTGTAGCTAAAAGTCACCATACATCTTATCCATTAAGCATGAATCTGGGGTCCCTCACCTATATCTACTGAATCTGGCATTCGTTGGTTTGTCGTATCTGTTGATGATTGTACTTGCATGTCCTGGCTCTATTTAATGGTGGTGAATTTGTGAAGCAACACTTTTGTACTTATTTTGAACGACATGCCTTTTTCATGAAACGTCATGCCCATAGAGCCCCAATAGAATGGCATTGCTAAGCAAAAAAACATACACATTCTTGAGACAGCAAGAGCTCTTTTACATGGAGCCTTTGTCCCGAAATCCTATGGGCTTGATACAGTGTCCACGGCAGTCTACTTGCTTAATCCAATGCCCTCCAAGGTCTTACAGTTCAAGAGACCACTTCAAGCTCTGGCATTGCATGTATCCACACCCACAGCACTCATGCTACCTCCACGAGTTTTTGGGTGTGTAGTGCATGTACACCTTTACAAAAATCAAAGAACAAAGCTTGATCCATGTGCTCTCCGATGTATGTTTTTGGGCTATGCCGTGCATCAAAAAGGGTACAGGTGCTATGATCCTTCAACTAAACACACCCATGTGACTATAGATGTTACTTTCTCGGAGAACGAGGCCTTCTTCGCAACAGTCAATTCTTCTCTTCAGGGAGAGACAAACGAGGAAGAGTTAAATTGGTTGTACTTTAATTGGCAGAATGTAGAGACAGTAGCAGAGCAAGAAAATGAGCTAGCTCGAACAGAAACTGAATCGAGAAATGATGACTCCCGTTCAAAAGCTGAACCAAACTCCCCCTTCCTTCAATACCTACAAACCTATCTTCTGAGAATCTACTTGAGGTAAGCACTCCTGATATATCTTCTCGTACAAATTCCGATACTTCTATTGGATACAAGTTACCTTTCAGGCATAATCGGGGCAGGCCTCCTAACAAATACTCTCCAGATATGGAAGAACGAGGATCAAGGTACCCAATTACAAATTACATGTCCACTAACTAATTATCTGAGCCTTTGAGAGCTTTTGCAAATGTACTCTCCTCAAATCATATTCCAAGTGGAGTTCAAGAAGCCTTGTCAGATATAGAATAGGCCTAGGCAATTAAAGAAGAAATGGAAGCCCTGCGGAAAAATAACACATGGACCCTAGGTCCATTACCTGAGGAGAAGAAGGTAGTAGGATGTAGATGGGTGTTCTCCATCAAACATAAGGTAGATGGATCTATTGAACAATACAAAGCTAGATCGGTAGCAAAAGGCTATAAGCAGACCTATGGGATGGTTTACCAAGAAACTTTCTCACCAGTTGCAAAACTAAACACAGTACGAGTTCTACTATCTCTTGCCCCCAACTTGGATTGGCCGTTACACCAGCTTGATGTAAAAAATGCCTTCCTACATGGTGACCTTGAAGAAGAAGTATACATAGAACTTCCTCCGGGCTACACGTGCCCCTCAGACACCAGAATTGTGTGTGAGTTACAAAAGGCACCATATGGACTCAAGCAGTCACCTCAAGCATGGTTTGGGCGATTTTGTTTGGCAATGAAGAAGTATGGGTTCAAACAGAGCGACTCAAATCACACACTATTTTTGAAACACGGAGTAGACAAGATAATTGCACCAATAGTGTATGTGGATGATATGATCATCACAGGGGATGACATGGAAGAAATATCTAAAATTCAGAAACAGTTGGCAATTGAGTTCGAGATGAAGAATTTAGGAGATCTCAAATATTTCTTGGGGATCGAAGTGGCAAGGTCCAGACAAGGTCTATTTTTCTCCCAGAGAAAATACGTACTGGACTTACTGGCTGACATGGGAATGTTAGAATGCAAGCTAGCAGACACTCCAATTATTCAGAACCGTTGACTTATTGGACACCCAGACCAAGTACCAACAGATAAAGAGAGGTATCAAATGCTAGTTGGTAAACTCATATATCTCTCACATACTCGTCCAGATATTGCATATGCTGTGAGTATAGTTTCCCAGTTTATGCACAACCCTAGTAAAGATCACATGGATGCTGTGACTCAGATACTCAAATATTTAAAATCCTCACCTGGAAAGGGACTTATGTTCTCAAGAAATAATCATTTGAGAATAGAAGGCTACATAGATGCAGACTGGGCAGGAAATATCTCAGACAGAAGATCCACTTCGGGCTACTTTCTGTTTGTTGGAGGGAATCTCGTTACATGGAGAAGTAAAAAATAAAAAGTGGTATCACTATCAAATGCGGAAGTAGAATTTAGAGGAATGGCGAAGGGACTCTGTGAACTTCTTTGGATCAGGAGACTACTCACAGGAATTGCTTTGCTCCCACTGCTGAAATGGACCGTTTTTGTGACAACAAAGCTGCCATTGCCATATCTCATGATCTGGTCCAACATGACAGGACAAAACACGTGGAAATAGACTAACACTTCATCAAGGAGAATTTGGAAGCAAAAGTGATTCGATTCCCATTTGTGAAATCTGAAGATCAATTGGCAGATATACTTACAAAGACTGTCTCAAGTAAAGACTTTCACAGTTCACTTAACAAGTTGGGCATCACGGATCTGCTTGCACCAACTTGAGGGGGAGTGTTGGCATGAGCTGTGAGGAGCTCACCTTTGGCAATAGAATCAATATATTTTAGGTATTAATTCTTCTATCAAGGGAATAAAATTATTGATAATTGTACAGTCCAAAAGTAGATTTTAATTCTCTCCTATTTAAACTGTACCATTATTATTGTAAATAAATGAAGAAAAAGAATATAATCCTTCATTTTTACAAGGTTTGCTCGAAAAAAATTTATCCCAAGAAGCATGTTTAAGGTTGATACTTGGGTTTTAAATTGGATTAATAATATTAACCATCTAGAAACAATAATTAAGTGACTTGTTTTTTGTTATTGATTAATTTCACAGATTTGGGTCTAGATATTTTCCGAACTCATTCTATGCATTCAGTGCACTGAGTAGATCTTTCTATACATTCATTGCATCAAGTTGCAGTTTAATATTGTGTATAGGTACTATAAGTTTTGGTTCATTCAGTCGAGTTCGGTCCTTCTTTGTTTGTACATACAGGTGCGTCCAGGACTGTATCAACTTTTCTCCGTGCATAGTCCAGAAATAAAACCTTTGTGGTGACAGGATAACAAGTGAAAACAACAGCCAAGGATTGTTGCATTGTTTAAGATGATATTTGTATTTGCAGATAACAATGATGATACAGGGTAAAATTGGGACAAAAGCTAGACGTAATCAAAAGCCAACACTAATCAGCAGACAGAAAATCACAAGGAGGAAATGCATGTTGAGAACTTGAGAATTACAATGAGAAAGAATGATCTCAGTGTAAAAATTATTAAGCTCTCATTAAATAAAAGAAAACAGTACGGCGAAGATACTGAAAACTAAAACCGTGCTACAAATGAGTGCTTAAACTATTTGTTAAGCACAAATGAAATCCTTTGGGAGTGCTTTCCCACAAGTATTAATAAGCAAACTCAAAGAAATAGGAATGTTAATGTTAATGCCAAGAATATTTGCTTTCAACGCAGTACAAAGGCAAACAGCAGCTTCAAGATCCAGAAGGCCACCAAGCACCGAACAGCAAGGATGGTCCGGTGGGTTTCCAATTGTTGTTCCAACACTGCCATTGAGTAGCTTGGCACAAATGCCAAGTTTTAGAGCATCTCTAGGGCAAGTTCCCTTAGACGGGGTGGGGTTGGGGATTGGGTTTGGCTTTGGATTTGTCTTTGGCACTGTTGGTTGATTACAAGTAAAACAGCCACTTGTAAGGGAAAAGAACAGAAGGTTAAGGCAAAGGAAAAGAGCAGTTGATGAACATTTGGAGTCCATTGATCAAAACTTTCACACTGCAGTGTTTTTGGTGGTACAGATTCACTGATTGCGTCGGTATATATAGGACTAAAAGTAGTAAAGTGATTAATAATAAATCAGCAGACATGTGAAGCAAGGCTGGCGTGGACTTAGGTCTGAACAAAGATCAATTATTTACAAATTTACAATTGATTTTCATATCACAGGAAGAACAAATGGGCATACAATATACTGTGGTTTGTAGTCCGTGACTACCATTGGCATGGGATTTTGTGTCATTCTTAGCCCATTGGTTGTCTATACTTAAAGTCCAGGATGGATCTCCAAGTTGACATGGAATGAATTGTTCTCTTAAAATATGAGACAAGATGTTCAATTTTCAATCCAATAAGCCCTTTTGTAACTCTTTCTCTCTCATCTTCATTCTTTCTATCCTCTCTCTTTGATTCAACCCTTCTTCTTCATCATATATTAGAGTTAGGGTTTCACGTGTAAGTTATTGATTTTATTTTTTGAAGGAGTCCTCTGATTCTTCCCTGGAGCGAGGATTTTGGGGAGAGATGCAAGATAAAACGTTGATATCAAATATTATTGTCAGTACTACATCCTGTTGGAAATCTGATCTCTTCGAGAAAATATCAAGAAAAACATAAAAGTAAAACTGAAGAATGACAACAATAAAACGAACCTAAGAATTTAGGAGGAAAACTCTAAAATCTGAGAAAAATCACGAGCCATAAAGGAAATTTTACTGTGAAAATTTGTTATTATCACATTATAATTCTCTCACAACAAAACCTCCAAATACAACTCGAAAATATACATATTCGATGAGAGTGCAAAGTATGCCCATGTCTCACGCATAGGCCGTTTATGACTATCTAATGGAAGTTTCTATATATAGGTACATGAAACGAGAGCCTTTTATTTTACATCCTACGAGGAATTCAATTCATGACAATCCTTTAGTCTATATGTATAGAATAATAAAAATTCAATTCTTATTTTTACTCGGAAAATATAAAATCAAATCCTAAGATCCTCCTTTTAGTGAATACTCAACGGGGATGTATGAGTTTCGATCAAATCATATGTTATCTACGTTTTCTGCAATTTTATGATGACGTATAATCTCTTTTCACAATTATTGGTGAGATGCAAGAGGGCGTTCGATTTACATTAGCAGACATATGAAGCAAGGCTGGCATAGAATTATAATAGAAATTCCACCAATTTCAGAACCTGATATTTAACTAGCTCTTGTTTGATTCCCATTATTTTCAAAATACATTTTTTTTTCTCTTTTTTCAATCGCACATCCTTTAATAAAATAATATTACACGTAAATTCAAAACTTTTCTTTATTTTTTAATCATACATTCGCCATCAATCTATTATTTCAAAATGCAACAAATTGGGGCTCAAACATGCTCTAAATTTCAAATATATAAGAACTGATATTTAGTCACAAGTAAAAGCAATGACCACATAATGAAGTTCCGTGACTATAACTGGTATAGAAATTTTGTTACTTTTCTCCCACTTGGTTCTTTCTATAATTTAAAATCAACCAATAAAAGACGCCTTGAAGTTTGATAATAACCATCTGTCTTGAGGTGGTTGATTAATGTTCATTACTTCCAAACCAGTGGTTAGTTTCTAGGTTAAAAAATTTATTCCCTTCTATATATATTTGAAGATGAACTTACAAAAATAAATTTTTCATATTTCCAACAACTTAAATTTTTAATTAAAGTGGTACAATGTAATATTGAATTATACAAAATGTCACGAACTCAAGTTTTGTCACTAACCATTTAAATAAGCTGAATGAAAGTGTATGTGTCGCCCGTTTGCTAAAACATTAATCTTACAAATTGAAAACTAAGTTCAAATGAAGAAACTAATTTTCTTTCTTATACCTTAAATCTATAGACCAGATTCAACGTCTATAAATTACAGTTTCAAGTATGATATTTTTAGCATCTCATTTTCAAGCCTCTTATGCTTTTCATTTCCCCTTCTGTTTTTGTTGGGTTTTTGATACCTAAAAATTCCGGGTTATGATATTAACGTGGGTTAATATTATTTCATAGGCATAGGCCGATGAAAGAAATAAGTCCAACAACCAAGTCTATGAGCTACACTGGCCCAATTGTATTCCCTTATGGATTGCTTGAATCTTGGCCCGTTTACCTCTTTAATGGTCCAACTTAAAGCCTAACCCTAGAGTATATATTTGGTTATAATCCTAGCGACTTTCTAATGATGATTGTGTGATTTTGAGAGAAGAAATAGTGAATCCCAGCTGCCTCCTTTTGTGTGAGAAAAAAGGTATTCAGAAGTGTCCAAAACGCTTGTATAATGTGTGCAATTTGTGGTTCTTTCATAGTATACCTTTGTGGTGTCTTCTCCTAACCTTTGTGACTATAGATCATCATCCTTTCTTATCCTACGTGAGTAAGATTGCATAGCAACCAAGGTGAATCAATTTGTTGTGATTTGGAGCCGATTGAACTGGTTGTTGGTTGAGAAATGTGCGTTGAATTGAGCCCGGAAATCACCGATTTGAAGATCTTTCAAAAGAGCTTCCGCAACAATTTTATTTATTTGTAAATTTCTATCTTAAAAATGGACAAAACAATATTGATATTTCAGTCATGATGTTATCATTAGATTCCTCGAAAGCTATGGGTTAGTAATTTTTTCAAGAAATGTTATGGAAAGGAAGATATTATCGGGTAATATTTTCCAATTGGTCTATTAGACTATTACAGTTTTCTCAGCTAAAAAACGAATTTCGTCTAAAAAATGAAAATTTAAACCAGTACAATTAGTTGAAAATTCTAATTCCGATTTAAGATTATCAGTAAGAAAAGGTTCCCACCCTGATAAGCGTAGATGAGCAACGAATCAAAGCAAAAAACACAAAAACATTGAGAATTCGGGACAGAGCCAGAAAGACAGAAAAATTATGCTGAGGAAAAAAATTTTACTTAAAGAAATAAATGGGTTGAGGGAGGGCTCCCCTCCGCCCCCGCTGAGAAGAGTTTTGCTAGTTAGGCATGCAGTTCAGCACTCACTCAATCAGCCTTTTAGGCATCTCAAGAGGATTATTGCCTCTGCACTAGAACGATTACGAACACTAAGACAAATTAAGTATCTAGTTGGTTTCTATTGGCTCATTAAGAAAATGATAATTTATTTATGACAAACTTAGTGCATACAGCAATCATGCAATTGACATTGGTTGTTGTTACGACGAGAATTCTTGTTTTTCTCCTCAAACCCTTTTGCCAGCCTCGTGTAATTTCTGAGATCCTTGTAAGTTTATATCATTCTTTTGATTTTCTTTTTTTCTGACTTTTGTTTCGGTTTATGCAGTTTGATTTTTCGACATGCGTGTGATGGATATATATGATGAAAATTATAAAATTTCAAGGATGCATAACCATTTATCGTGTTATCAGCAGAAGAAAATTAAAATTGTTTCATCTGTTATTCACTGATTCATCAAAATTGTTTCAGGGTGGTATAATCTTGGGGTCATCAGTACAAGGATGAAGCACCAAATTCGCAAACACCGTATTTCCTCTTAGAAGTGTAATGATACTGTTACGTGTTGTCATATTTGGCCAACCTACTTGGGCTTATGGCCCACTCAATCCGAACCAAGTGACACTCCAGCCAAGGTGGCATGTATGACCAAGCCCCTTTATGCCGAGGCCCATATACCGAGGCCTGTGAAAGTAGCCGAAGTCCATACGCTGAGGCCCATGAACTGAAGCCATGATGCAAGATCACCAAAAAGATAGTCGAAGCCCTAAAGCGAAAGTATTACGTGAGTGGCAAAAGCCCTGAATCCGAAGCCGAAGCCTCCGAACCATGAAGGAACATCTTCCATGATCACTTCTCCTAAGAGATCTTCTACATAAAGATCTTGTTTGAATGATTGATGGAATGTTTGTCATAAGTGTACAAGTCAAGTCTTGTCATTAGCATGGGGGTTCTGCATAAGCAATAAATGCGCAGCAAACTAGCAAGTCAAGGATGATGCCTAGGATTGAATGTTTGGATTAAAGAGATGAGGCCACGTGCCACCTCATTCAAGGGCTACCATTTCACATGTGCCACTATAAATACTTCCCTTGTGTAACATGAAAGGGCTAATGCAAGAATCAATACAAGAAACGACACTTTACTCCCTCTTTCATATTATCTTGCAACACAATACGAGTACATACATATTTACATCCACATTCATGAGCACCGATTGGTAATTATTGTACAATCGGATTACGAACATCCCGTCGGATTTCGAATATTCTCGTCCCGCATCGTTGAGCTACTCCCACGCCCCTGATCCATTCGTTCTAGACCGTCCACGTGTCTTAACGTGTAGGACCTTCACTCACGTATGCGTGGGTAGGTCCAGCATCTGTTGGCAACATTTTTTGGGGTCAACAGATTGGCGCCATCTATGAGAAACCATACCATAACCACGAACAACCTTATGGTGAAAGCTTATTGAAGAGCATTTGGGCATTCCCTTTGAAAAATGATTTGTTCTTGAAAAAGAACAAAAGGAAGCCCCACAACTTAGCAAAATCTGAAGAGTCTGACGAAAAGAAAATGAGTTCAAACGAAGACACACCCCTCAGGAGGGTAAGAGAAAACGCGAATGTACTCCTCCATCCGCTGCCCCAGCAGCTCGACAAAGACTCCACCACCACCAAAGAAGTGGTGGAATGCGGGCGACAGCACAGCTGTCAAGAGAAATGGCTACCATGGCGACCGACATGAGGGATATTACTAGCTAAAACTTGGCTATAAGGGAGCTCATGGCCCAAATACAGGGCCAGAGAGGCTTCCCCATTCCTCCATACGCCCCTCAAGGGCACTACCAGCAAGAAGATGAAGTTCAAAGTTATAGAGCTGCCTCGTCGGACTATAGCCGAGGTGGAAACCCATTTGAAAGGGAAGTGGAAGTTGATGTTTCCTCCAACTACGCTTCTGGCCGACCGACCGAGGTCCTATTGAACC